TATTCAACATAGTGCTCGAAATCCTCGCCACAGCAATTAGGCAAGAGAGGGATATTAAGGGTGTCCAAATGGGGACAGACGAAATCAAACTCTCGTTTTAAAAGTTTTAACAGTTTTGTTGTGAAATTATCATAACTTGAGAAAGGTATATATTAGGTTATTAAATATGAAATGTCAGATTTCAAATCAAAAGTTTAGTTTTTTATATCTCAAACATGAAGCAGTACAACTAATCAAAGTATGTGCCTAAACTATCGACACAGTTTTGGCATCTTAATGGTAGCTTGCTTATGCCAGCAGCTAAGAAGCCTGGAGAGCGAGTGACTATGAAATCATGAAAGGCATTTTCCACAGCTTGTTGAAAATTGAATATTTTTTCTTACAAGAAGTAATCCAAAGCCTGGAAGAAGTGGTAGTCAGTTGGTGCAAGGTCTGGTGATATGGCAGATGACAGAGAGTTTACAAATCCAGCTTCTATAGCTTGAGCAGCATTGTTTGTACAACATGTGGTAGAATATTGTCTTGCAAGAAGATTGGTCTGTCTCTATTGACCAGTCTCGGCTACTTAATTGCAAGCATCATCATCATTTCCTCCAATTGGTTGCAGTAGACATCCACTATAATTGATCGACCAGGTTTCAAGCTGTAGTGGATAATACAAGCACTGGACCACCAAACAGACACCATTAGCTTCTTTTGATGAATATTCAGTTTTGGACTGTGTTTTGGCACTTCATCTTTAACTAACCATTGTGCCAAACACACTTGTGATTGTCTAAAAGTTTCCATTTTTCATCACATGTAACAATACGGTGTAGAAATGGTTCAACTTAATGTCGTGACAGCAAAGAAAGGCAAGCTTCCAGATGATTTCTCTTTTGACTCTTGTTTAATTCATGCAGTACCCATCTATCCAGCTTGTTTACCTTGCCCATTTGTTTCAAATAGTCCAATATTGTTGGAATAGTAACGTCAAACCTTGCTGCTAATTCACATATAGATTGAGATGGATTTGCTTCCACTACAGCTTTCAGCTCACCATAATCCATCTTGGTCTCAGGTCACCCACATGGCTCATTTTCAAGATTAAAATCACCAGAATGGAACTTCTCAAACCATCAACATACTGTGCATTCATTAGCCACATTCTTCCCAAACATTTCGTTGACATTTTAAGTTGCCCGTGCTGCACTGGTTCCTTGATGGAACTCATATTCAAAAATAACGTGAATTTCTGACTTATCCATGGTTTCACAAAAATTGCTCTAAAAAATTTTAAAGCTAATCACAAGCCAAAATGTGTGTTTGAAAGATAAGGATGTACCTCCACAATAAAAAAAAAAAAAGAAGAAGTGTCAAAGTGAAATGTCAGAGATATTAACTGTCAAACTTAGTACTTAAGGAAATCATACATTCCATACTTAATAACCTAATATATATAAGTGGAGCTATGTCTTAGAAATAATAAAGTAAATTTCAACTAACAACTAACCACATTAAAACCTGTAGCCATAATTTAAAAGTCTTGTATTGCACACAGATTATTTGATAATAATAATGATTATAATGCAGCTCAAAAATAGTAAGTCCTTTTCCCATTATTCTAGAATCCATAATAAGTGCTTTGCCATGTAAAATGCCTTAGGGCAAAGCTAGTTCCTGAATAGTTGACTGCAGTGTTTCACCCCATCCCCAAGGGCCTCTATGACTTTGTCATTCCGAAGGGTGAAGATGAAGGGGTTGAGGAAAGGAGTCACTACTGAAATCATCAAGGAAACTACCCTGTTGTAATCAGCTGCCTGCATTTGATTGGGTTTCACATAGAAGAACAAGCAGCTGCCGTACCCGATGACAACACAGGTGAAGTGGGAGGCACAGGTGGAGAAGGCTTTCCTCCGGCCAGAGGCTGAAGGGATCTCGAGGATGGTGGAGATGATGTAGGTGTAAGAGACAATTGTAGGGATCAAAGAGCCAAAAAGAACAAAAACAGCCATTAAGAAGAGGATAAACTCTGTGAAAAGAGTATTATTGCAGGATAGTTTGAGCAGTTGCCCTCGGTAACAGAAGAAATTGTTCACCACATTTGATTTGCAGTAAGTAAGCTTAAATGTAGCATACATTGGCCAGATTTGAAAAAGAAACCCAAATACCCATGACACAATTACCACAAAGTTGCAGGTACGAGTGTTCATAATGATGTTGTACCTCAAAGGGTTACAGACAGCCACATAATGGTCCACAGCCATCGCTCCAAGTAATGCAAACTCTGTGGTCCCCACAGCAAGGTACAGGAAGAGCTGGGCAACACATGCAGTCAAAGACATTGTCTGCATCCTGGGGAGCAGCAATCCCCAAAGCATCACAGGGACAATTATAGTGGTAACCAGGATCTCCAGGACAGAGAGGTGGCCAAGGAAGAAATACATGGGGGACTGCAGATGTTTATCAACACAATCACGATGATGACTGTGTTTCCCATTAATGTCACTAAGTAGAAGAAGAAGAATATAGCAAAAAGAATATGGTGTAGTTCTTCAGAGCCAGGGAAGCCAAGGAGGTAAAATTCAGTGGCACTAGAGTGATTCCTCAACATTTAGTTCTGAGCTCTTATTCCTGTGAAATCTAGAGAGCAAAAAAAAAGATAACACTGCTTCTCATTTCAAAAAGATTAAAGACATTTCCAGGTTGACAAAATCCTTCCTGCTCCTCAGTTCCACAACATGACTCTATTTGTTTATTCAAGGTTGATGTTAAATCTTTTATGGAGAATATATATCATACATGAAGATAAATGTGTAAGTCCAAGAAGATGAACACTATTGTGTTCATGAGTGAATACCATATAATAAACATGAACACCACCCAGCCACCATACACACACTTTCTCAATACACTGGACATTCTGCCTCCAACTCTGCTCTGCCCAGCCACCCTGTCTGCTTCTCTGAACACACCCATCCATTTATACCAACACCCCTCCCATCATGAATGAAACCAAATAATCTTCTCTGTCTATTATGTCCCCATCTTGCAAAGTCCTGCTGCATCTCAACAATTACAAGAACGTATTCCCAGCCGATCTCATACAGACACGGTTGCTTTTCCCTTTGTATCCTCTAAACATAGGCTCCATTTGCAATATATTCATTTATACGAAGAAAGCCATCCCCCACCTCTCATCTCAGCAAATGTGTCTCCTCCACACAGGCAGTCTGGCCAGCTCCCAGTTAACAACTTCTAGTTCTAAAGTTTTGATTCCTCTTGTCACCAGATGACACAGGGGAGGGGAGTTCAGAAGGAATGAAGAGACTGGAACTTTAATTTTCAACTCCCAACATAGTCTCCATTGTGGGACCAGGGACAAGAAAACAACTGCAGTGTGGAGGCAACACAGCCTCTGCATTCCCCAGTTCCCAGCACCCTGATTCCAGCCTGGGGAAAAGACCTTTCAGTGGGCAGTCTGTGCCTGCATGCAACCTGCCATGGTCTCCAGTCCTCAGAAAACTCCACAGAGATCAGCTCTTCCGTGACCACCTGTTTTCTCTAGAGTCCTGGTGGGCAAGGAAAAGTGTTGGAAGACACCAAAATTGTTCACACTGAGCTCCTTAGAATATCTGGGCTCCTTCCCTCACTACATTTAGGTCTTTACTCAAATAGCTCCTCTTCATGGGCCCCTTTCCATTCATCTTCTCTAAAACAATACATACACACCTCCACTCTCTAACTTCTATTAGGCTGTATTTTTCTTACTATTGGTTCTCAGCAATTTCTCAGATGATATTATACTTTTATTTGTTTATTAATTTATCATCAAAATCCCACATTTAATCAAGTACCTCAAAGGTACGTCCTTTCTCTTTCTTGTTCACTTTATCTTTCTTATATCATGAGTGCCAAGAACAGAATCTGACAAAATATGCATTCTATAAATATTTTAAATAAGCATATCAATAAATAGATTAAAGGAAAAAATCAGTGAATGAACAAAGATTATCCAAACCTATTTGCTTTCTCTCCATTCACTCTTCTCTAAAGCAATGCCCAGCCAACCTGCACCTCTCTCCCTGGAGCTCCCCTACAAAATGGCAAGCAGATATAAGGAAGAAATGGGGAAAAACGAGAGGGCAGGGTCATAGGTAACGGCAGCGCTTTGTGCCTATCGCCAGCAGTGGGCAGAGAAGAGATGAACCTGCTCTCTGCCATGGAGGGAGGATTTAATGCAGAGCTCAGCTATTCTGCAGCTCCCCTAGTCAACTCTTCAGGCTCTAAGTATTGTTGTTCTAGAAGGCAGCCAAGCCCAGGCCCTCCATGAAAATGCTCTCCTCCTCACAGAGAGGAACCCCTGGAAGACACTCACCTCCAGAGAAGGGTACTAGACTGGAAAGTTCTACTGCTGTTCTAAGGGCCAGCCCAAGTTAGCTCCTACCTGGCTAGTCCACAGCTATGCTCAGGAGACAGGCAGCTGCTGTCATCTCCATGCATAGGGAAGGACACTGTCCACACACAGAAGCTTAAGAAAAAGTCCAGAAATACCAGAGCTGAGGGGAGTCCTGCTGTGTCCTGTTTTTTCATTCTCTCTGCTTCCCTCTTTCTCTCCCTTTTCTGTCTCCAAGGATAGTTAGTTATTCACTGAGGAACAATTTGTACAAGTTCAGAAACACACTAGGGCTGATGTCAAGGAAAACCTGAAGAAAACTTTCACCCTTCCCTCCTGAGGCTAATCAAGTTTTAGAACAGTGAAAAGTTGTTTCATGGGCAAACTTGAAATCTCCCTCCTCGGGTAATTCTCTACACCTAGGTTGCCTTTCTTCAGGCTCTAAGTTATCACCGAACTACCCACACTGTGAATAGCTTCCTGAGCTGCTCTGTGCTTATTCCATTTAGCCTTACAGATCCTAAGCTCCCTGCAAGCTGATGACTCCTCTAGGGGCTCCAAGACACATATCGAAAATCTAGAAGCCACCAAATGGACTTCTGTCAAAAATTTTCTCTTCATCTCCAAGCTTTTATGAAGCCCACCTTTCCAGATGACCTTTGCACTCCTATCAGATACCTTCTGCTGTAGGTATGAGAACCCCAGTAAGTGAGAGAGAGGATTTGGATAAGGCAAAATTTCAATGTCCCTCTCCCCACTGGTTTAATGCTCCTGAGTCAGCTCCTGAGCTAAATATTATTGTAAGTCTCTAGTGTATTCATACAGAACTTTTCTGTGCACATATCTTTGTATATGAATATCTCTATATGTTACTTTAAGGCAAATGATATTTTAATAAACATATTTCCCTGCTACCCTTTTCTTAATATAAATATATACACATAATATATATAAATATATACATGTATGTATGTGAGTGCATGTGTATGTCTGTGTATTAAACCTTTCCATGTTAGTAATTATAAATCAATCACATTTTAAGTGATTGCTTAATAACTATTCACCTTATAAATATACCAGTCATTTACTGAATGAAATGCTGCTGATGAACATTTCATTCTTTTCCAATTTTTTAGTACTGTAAATGATGCTGCAATAAATATTTGCACATGTAAGTCTGTGCATTTGTACAGATATATCTTTTAAAATAATTTTATTAAATTATTAGCCATTATCAAATCACCTTCCAAAAATTTGCATCAATTTATAACCTCTTTAAGTGAGATTATATCAAGACTATCTCTGGAGCCTCTTGGCAGGACATTTCACTGTTAACCCTGTGCAGACTTAGAAATGAAATTAACATGTCAATTGACAATAATTATCCTGTGAGTTAAGAACACATCCCAAAGGTCCTCATCCCCATGGAAACTGTGCTGACAGCTGTCCAGGCAGCTGTGTTGGTCATGTGAGTAAAGTTGGAGAAATGTGAAGGAAAAGTGTTTGAAAATGAGGAAATCTGAGGAGGATAGAACCTTTCTCTGAGAAATTAAATTGCAGAACAAAATTCCCCAATTCAAGGCATGATTCAGTTTCTCCAGGTATCATTCTACGGTTGTTAACCATACAATGGCAGAGTAGAAAATGGAGAAGTAGGAAAGAATGAAAAATAATACAACTCCTCTGGAAAAAGTTTTCTTATAAACTTAAACATACACCTACCTACTCTATGATCTGGAAATTCTACTTCTAGGTAGTTGCCTAAAACAAATGGAAACATGTCCTCACAAAAACTTCTGTTATAACATCCATAGTACTTTATTTATTATAGTTACTAATGACAGAAAATATCCATCAGTGAGAGAATTCTATAGTCATGTGAGGAAATACTATTCAGCAATGATTCGATATTTGCTAATTCAGAGTTCCTGATACCTTTACAAGACTTAATTATCCCAAATAACGAGAATTAACTTATATTCATATGAGAAAATAATACTTAGCAATGAAAAGTAACAAACTACTGATTCACACAACATGGACAAATCTCAGATACATTACACTGAATGAAAATATCTGACACCAAAAATGCATACTCTATGATGCTATCATAACATGCCCCAGAACAGACACAAATAATCTATAGTTAAAGAAACTCCAACAATGATTGCCTCTGTGCTGGGAGAAAATTGACTGGGAAAGATCACGAGAGAATTCTGGGGTATACTGTCCCTTTTTAAGTTGCTAATTACATCTGGCTAACTTTTTACTTAGGATTTTGGCCTCTATGTTATTGAGAGATATTGGCTTATAGTTGTCCTTCCTTGTAAGGACCTTATCAGGTTTTGACATCAAAGTAATTTTAATCATCATAAAATGTATTGGAGAATATGTCCTCTTTTCCTATTTTATGGGAAAATATTTGTATTATTTCATCCTAAATTGTCTGGAAAAATTCATCCATGAGGACATATAGGCCATCAGTTTTCTTTGTGAGAAAGGTTTTAATTACTGGTTCAATGTCTTTAATAGCTATAGGACTATTCCGAAGTTTTATTCCAGTCTGTGTCCATTTTGAAAAATTATAATTTATCTAAATTGTAAAATTTATTGGCATATATTTGCTCATAATATTCACTTTTATACTTTCAAGTCTCATTGTATCTATTGTGATAGCCCTTGTTTCTATATCTGATATTGGTACTCTGTATGCTTTTTTTTCTTGATTATTCTTGCTAGGGATTTATCAATTTTATTAATTTTTTCAAGGACATTACATTTGGCTTTGTTCATTTTTCTCCATTGCTTATAAGGTTTATATTTCATGTTCATGAGGCTTTTTTCCTATGTGTGTCTTCACATGACATTCATTTTACAAGGATATCAGTCATATAGAATTAGGGGTCCACTCTACTACAGTATGACCTCATCTTAGCTAATTACATCTGAAACAACCTTATTTCCAAATAACTTCACATTCTGAGGTACTAAGGGTTAAATCTTTAACAAACGAATTTAGAGGAACAAAATTCAACACACATCAGACATCTTGGTTGCCACCAATTTTGGCAATTATGAAGGTAGCTATTATAAACATTCATGTGCAGGTTTTTGTATGGACATAAATTTTTAACTCATCTGGGTATGTATCAAGGAGCACAGTTGCTGGATTAAACAGTAAGAGTATATTTAGTTTTGTAAGAAACTGCCAAACTCCAAAGTGGTATTTTTCATTCCCACCAGCAATAAATGAGAGTTCCTGTTGA